AAAAATGTAGCCAAGTCAAAATATTGAAAGCCTTTACACTTACTATATTGAGTGACTTGTATGTAGAGAATTGTGCTACATGCATGTAAAAACACTCTTTTGTTGTTTTTGTAGGCTAAGTCCTTGTTCTAAAATGTACATTTTTGACTCTATTCAACAGCTCGCACTTTCCCACTGACAGTCAAATTATGTTTTCCTGTGACTTTTTTCAGAGAAGTTGACAGAAAAAGCCTAAATCCATTTTACTTTGCAGCATTATTCTTAAAAACTTGAAAATTTAGAGACATTGATGATAAATATTTCAACCCAAATATGCATGGGTTTACACATAATAGATCTGTAAGGAAGCCCATTTAGGACCTATCAAAAAATATTTTCGAATTCGATATAACGAATTGTAGAATTTGTTATAACGAATTTAATTCGTTATAACAATTTCTTTGAATTCGTTAAAACGAATTTGATCTGTTATAACAAATTTGTTGAATTCATTATAACGAATTCAAAAATTTGTTATAACTAATAAGATTCGTTTAAACGAATTCTAAAATTTGTTTAAACAAATTTAATTCGTTATAACAAATTCAAAAATTTGTTATAACGAATTAAATTCGTTAAATCAAATTCAACAATCAGGGCCTTTAGAAAGATATGTATGAATTGGATATAATGATTTGGCGAATTCGTTTTAATGAATTTAAATCCTTATAACAAATTTTTGAATTCGTTATAACAAATTCAACAAATTTGTTATAACAGATTAAATTCGTTATAACGAACTCAAAGAAATTGTTATAACGAATTAAATTCGTTATAACAAATTTTACAATTCGTTATATCGAATTCAAAAATATTTTTGATAGGTCCTAAATGGGCTTCCGTAGATCTGCTATTTCCCAAAGTTTAATCAATAATTATCTGTTGTAAAAATCTGCTGGACCTGTTCGGATAATCTGTTTTTGTGCTTTCTTGAATTTATGTCGGTTGCTAAATTTGAGTTGGTTGGTAAGCTTGATGGAATCGTACACCTTATGGTGTGTATTGTAAACATAATTTCTAAAGTTTAGTCCTTGAAAATGTTGAAAATAAATAATCTATCCCTGCCTTCTTCCTACGGTTTTCATTTTTTTTTTTTTAAATGAATATAGTAAAGTAACCAATGATATATTTATTATACAGGGAAACATGCTATTATTCATCGCCTTGAAGTATTTTACATTTTGACCTTTACACCTCATGTGAGGTAAGGGTATATGTGTGTTTATTATTTGCATGAAATTGAGTTTCATGTTATTTTCTGTTTATACATTTATCTCAGTTCTGGTTACTGAAAGTTATATTAGTTGATTTTTTTTTTTTTTTTTGGTTTATAATTCATAATTTCTAAATCGGAAGTATGTAATGATTTCTTTTCATATTTTGTAATATTTTGGTAATATCAGTAATATTCTATTATTTCTGGATAAAGTAATTTATTATAAAGATTATGTGAAATGAAAGTTCAGTGTAATATTTTACGACCAGAGATATAATTTTAAATTGACTTGTTAATATTTGTTTATGCCATGCATTGATTTTAACATTTTTTGTTACAGGGTTTATTTATGTTGAATATGTAAAAAATAAATCCTCCAAAAGAACCCAAGAAATCCTTGTTTATTGGGGAAAACAGGGGTTACACTTGTAAAATGTTAAAAAGCGTTATTTATAAATATTAAAGGAAGTGGTTCATTCATAAGTGATTAACCCCTTCCCGCCCCCATTCCGAGGTATAGATTTATTTTTTGTTTAATTTTAGATTTTTTCTTTTGGTAGAAAGGGGGGGGGGTATTTATGTTTTCATTGTTAATAAAATACAGCTAGACTGATTTAATATTAATTTTACTGCTACAAGGTTCAAATTAAATGTATTTTAGTCTAGAGATATGATAAACTGTGAACTTTAAGAACCCTCTATACACTGCACACTAAAGAGTTCTGATTCTGTGGTATTTTTATGTAGTTAGAGTAATCTGCCCTTAGATCTAAAATAAAATAAATTGAAATTTACAGTTTATCAATCAATTTCTAATCAATTCAAGCATTCTTGACATTTTGATAGGCCAAGATGAATTAACTGAAAACCTCATCTGCATGCTTTTTCCCCAGTTAGGTAAACAACAGTGATTTCTGTTCATCAAAACTTTGTTGACTTTGAACATTTTTCCTGGGGGTAAAAGCCAGGCACCCTTTGTTGAAAATGATATAAATAAGCTCAATATTTACACCTTTATACAATATAATTTTCTCAATGTCCCAAAAACATTTTTGTTTAGTGTAGAGAGGGTCCTTAAATATGATTCAGACAATTTGTATTTCTATACAACCCCCCTACCCCACCCCCCAAAAAAGTATAATTTTGACTGGTCGATAGGAATCAAACAAAACATTTTTATTATTGGCCTTAACAATTTTTTTTAAATTTTTTTTATTGGGTAAAGACCTTTCCCTTAAAGAAAATTCTTGCTTCAGCAACATTATCAACTTACATCACATCATTCAATATAAACTTGATACACCTGTACTTTGTTGTTGCCAAGCCTATTTTTTATCTGACTTTCAACTTCCAGTTCTGTACGATCATGTAAATGTAGCTAGACTTTAATTATTTTGGTAAAATCAAAAGCCTACTTTTCTAACATTATAATTCAGTTTTGTTTTTCCCCACATTCGTTTTTAAAAGAAACACTGGCTTTCCTGGCTGTTATTCATTGTAATATATCACGTACTCTGACTGAGACACTGTACCTCTTCTTACAACCAAATTCAATATAATTCTGATATCTTAAGTTAATCTTTTTATCCCCATTTTGAAACTCCTAAGACCTTGAGGCTTAGGCTTCAATATCATGAATGTGCACAGAGCTGATTTCTTGTACCATGTGGTCTTGTACATTTCCCCATTGTTCACACGTAAAAATTACTCTTTTGCATCCAGGAAATAAACAAAGAGGTTAAAATTTGTATGCACATTAAATAAACAGAAAAAAAAAACACTTGATTTTACTTGAAATCCAGGATATATGTTGACAATGTAAACAACTTCCGGTCAGTTTTGTCCAATGATTTTTTTTTTATCTCTCACACTAAAGAGCTCACAATTATCAAAGGGAGATAATTCAATTTTTAAATGAATGTCTGCTATTTTAATCATAGATTTCTCATATTTATAGACTGAATACCAACAATGTTTTTAAATGACTTTAAAATCAGATGTCATACTTTTTATTTCTGTGAGTGACATGAATTGAAGTAGCCGCATTTCATTGAATAACATTCCCCAAAATTGCATTTTTTCAGAAAAAATCAACTTTAGACACCGTTTCCATGGTAACTACTTAACATTCATATGATCTAACAATATTTTTGGAGTAGTTTATGAAGTGGTAAATTCTAGCCAAATTTGAAAAAAATCTGTGACTGTGCGTGCCACAAAAGTTTAAGTGGTTACAGAGAATGGCTATTAAACTTTATCCTTAAAACTTAAGAAAAGTAGAAATTTTGTTGTGTATTATATTATGAAAAAATATTAAAACTATAATCAAGAAAATTCAGAGAAGAAAAGTGAGATAGCAAAACCAACTCACCAATATTGTCAGTCCGTGCTCGGTGATGTGTGCAAAGTTTAACAAATTATTGAAAACACCCGATGAAACATAAACATTAACAATAACAGAGTTCGAGATGTTTGACGTGATGTAAAGGATAATGTCATTGAATTCTAAGAAGATTGATTAATGTAAGTTCAATTCATTTAACTGGTTTTATTTTTTGAATAAGCATAGAAATTTAAAATGTAAACAATGCAACTGTGTCCAGGCCCCTTTAAATCTGTAAAACCTATCTGCAAATGATTTTAAAAATACGTCTAAGTATAATTCAATCGAACTATCTGTACAAAAAAGGAGTATTGATTGACGATCGACGTTTCACTTAAGATACCGGCGAAGGATTCAAATTTAGACCTTTGCTCGGCACTCGGGACCATTGAGCACTGAGGATCTTGAGCGTGCCAATGCCTGTCGTGACACGGGGGCTCGGTTTTTAACATCTCATCCGAAAGACCTGTGACTTTACATACATATTTAATGCATTTTCAACAGTGAAATACTGTGACTTATTTATTGAATAAAAGTGACATTCTCTCACAGTGTGAGAGGATACCAATTATATTCTCTCACAGTGTGAAAGGATATCCAAGTAAGTAAAAAATAATTTCTGGCCTGTAATAAGATAGAGATAGTAACTAAGCCATCTTAATAGAGACTAAAACTGCCAATTTCTTCCCGAATATGTTGCTCAAATCCATGTTACAATGTTTTCAATCTCAAAACTACCAAGCTATGACGTCTCAGCTGCGTAACTATGACCTCACAGCCTATGACACGTACGTTAAGAAAAGACAGAGGAAATGGGAAAAATCAAAGAAAATGTAATAAACAGAAAATTCAATGTTTTGTATTTGGATGTATGGATATTCGCACTCGTGAAAATATCAAAAAATCCCTTCTCTCGAGTAAATAAATTCCATATCAAACTACAAAACATTGAATATCCTCTATTACCTTCTTATGTTTGTCATGGTCGAGGCGTGAACCCATGGTATCAGCGCTCTACCGACTGAGCTACCGTGACGGTTTGGTGAAAGTCAATTACTGTTTACAGACACGTGTCATTTATGTGAACTTGGGTTCACTAATTTAAAAATAGGTTTAATTATTTAAACCTTTCATTCATACGATCTATCTGTAACAAAGAAAGAATTTAATAGACATATTCATTTGTTTATCAGATCGTAGTCTCACGATAATATTCATTATATCTTTTAACAGGAAATGCTTTGAATGATCAGATGTTCTTAACACGTGCTGGTGTTCTCGAGATGGAAAACAGCAGCTCTGACGTCACTGACGATAAGCAGCGAGAAGCTGATTCTTTCTTATCTTTGATCAGAGGCCATTCGGCAACTTTATTCAACAATGCCATATTGTGCTGTATACAAGTGTTTCAGTTCTTCAAATGTGGACAAGAATGTATCATTTTTTCAAATTCCAAAGGATGTCACTCTTCAAAAAATATGGTTACGTTATTGTAATAGGAGGGAGTTCACTTTTAACAAACACTCTCGACTCTGTAGCAAGCACTTTACGCCAGAGCAGTATCTGCGCCTTCCATCCAGAATGGCAGAATTGGGATATCCAAATGCTCGTGCCCAATTAAAGAACGGTGCTATACCCGACGTTCCCTGGACTACACCGGGAAGAATGAGAAAAAACTGTGCACATGTATATAACAGGAAGAAACCGTTAATTGAGGTAAAACTAGCCAGCTTCCATAAAAATATCGCTTCCAAGAGATATATAGTGAATTATAAAAAGGACAAATTTAAATGATTTTGATATAATACTAGTTAATGGTTCATGAACAAATCATTCCGTTTTTGTTAAAGCACGGTTAAATTGCTTATAGCTGTCTTTTTGGATAACTTAACGAGGCCCAGTCTAGTTGAAAATTACAAAAACAGATTAAGTGTCAAATATTTTTGAATTTTTTATATAATTTTTGTATATATATGTACCATGCTTAAAAAAAAATAAAATAAAATATGTTATCTTAACTTGCCTTGATTGTAGTGGCGTTGATTTACCAGGGATCTCTACATTATATATAGGTCCCTGGATTTATACACAATTATGTGGTAAAACTACCTAATTGACAAAGAGATGGTTAAATTAAACAAGAGGCCAAAGGCCTTAACGGTCACCTGAGTATAATACAACACTGTAAATGATCCATAGAAGTATAAAGCAAAATTATCTGAAAGATGAAGCAATGTTGCCAAAGAATTTTAAAAATCTGGTAAAAATACCCTTGCTTTTTGTAACATGCGAGACTTGAAGCGATCTTCTTGGGATTGTACTTGCATTTCCCAAGTCTTACGACGATGATAATGAATGCAAAATATGGGAATACAATTGACACTTGCCTAGTGTGTAAGTTATTTAATATATACAGATATGTTCTTGTCACTTGCCTAGTTCTACAATTAAGTACACAAAGAGAAATCTCTAATGCCTTTACATTTATTCGAGGTGATGCCTCTTGGCTACACAAACAACTTAGCTGCTTGCCATTTGGTACATGTAACACTTGGTACCAACACTTGCCTCTTAGGTATACAAACAACTTGGTAATACTTGTTACCAGCAATCACCACTTGGCTATATAATGTGGCTATAAAGCAACTTGTGCACACATATACCATCTAGTCTATGGTCTTCATGACTTTATCTGACAATAACTCATCAATTGTTAACCAGGACACCAAAATATACCCATACTGTGTAAAATTTGCTATTTTACTACCTAATCTTTTTGTCAATCTTTTATACTGCTTTGCAGGCAAGAATGCGACTTTAAGCATGCTTTGCTCTTTAAACCAAACATTTATTTCTGGGTTTTTTTTCTCCCCCCTCTCTCTCTCTCTCTATATATGTGTGTGTGTGTGTGGGGGGGGGGGGGGGGTGTTAGGTTATGCCAAATCTTGATCAAGTAATACATCTATTTTTAAAGGAAAAAATGTCGTAATCAATAAAGGGTCGAAATTCCAATTAAAAGGGATGAAATTCCATGAATCGCACAGATAATATATACAAGTCTGTCATGTGCGAAAGAGAAACCGCCTATTTGAAACACATGCTCTATAAACTAGTGCATTTTTTGTTCATATAACTCTTTTCGAATTTTACGCTGTATAATACTTATGAGCCGTTAAAAATACCACAATTCTTTATATTTGACAATTCCAAGCAGTAGAAAAAAAAATTGTACTTTTTGATTGAGTATCAGTAATACTTTATACATTGTTCAAAATTTATCAAAGATTATTAAAAAAAACGAAAAAGGTGAAGAGGTAGCAAGCAGCAATCGATCTAAAATAAAAATACAAACAATACAAATCTGTGAACAGGGCATAAAGAATGGGCCCCCAGAAATTCAAGAGGCGGAATCAGGTCCCTAGGGGGAGTAAGCATCCCCTGTCCACCGGTCACACTCTTCCTGAGCCTTATGTACTGATTAGATAGATGTGGATAGAATAGTCCGTAGTCAAGTTTAGTATAAAAATAAAGTTCTAACAATTGGTATGAAATATTTCTGTCAAAATGCGATCCAATTATAGGTTATATACATGTACAGTATATTTCTGACAAGGTCATTATAACGACCATAGAATTTACGAAATTCTGACTTTAAACGAGGTTGTTGGAATCCCTCTAACATCAATTTATCTGTCAGTAGCCTGCCTCGTTTTAAAAAAAAACTCAAAGCATGCTATTGAGTATCGAATAATAAGGGAGACATAAACACCATATGCAGGTTACAACGGAATATTACTACATAAATAAGAAAAGATGGCAATAGAAAAGCTGAAGTCATCTCGTTTGTCATACAGTTTAGATGCTAGTTGACCCTTATTCCCTATAATAAGCAAAACATCCATATATGGAACAGATGTGGCAGGCTGTGGTATCTTTTATTTCCAGTCCACTGGGATATATATCGAGTCGACATATGAATGGAATTAACTATCATTAATTGATAAAAAGTCGTCGATATATCTTAATTTCGAGAGGAATGCCACAGAAAGTGATTTCTTCTTCTCATGTAGAAATTTCTGAAGAAATTCTGCTTTATAGGAATAAAACGGCATTTTCAACCATCTTAACATTCCCCCTTTCCCATTAAAATACCCGGTCTCTTTAAAAAAAATTCATTAACACCTGAATACCTAAAATGTATGGCATGTCAAACGTTGCAATATTCGATTTTTTCCGTTTATATTATATAATTTTCCAACTTTTAAAAAAAAAAAAATTATTGTATAATTCTTATTTGTATTCTATAATTTTCCATTTGTGTTCTATAATTTTCGATTTGAATTGTATAATTTTTATTTGTATTCTATATTTTCATTTTGTATTGTAAAAAAATCATTTGCATTGTATATTGTTTTATTTGTATTCTATATTTCCATTTGCATGGTATAATTTCTTATTTTTATTGCACAGGTTAAAACTTGACCAATGAAATCCTTCGGAACGAAAAAAACTTGACCAATGAAATCCTTCGTAACGAAAAATAATAAACAATCCTCGGATACAATACAAATGAATAATTATCGAATTCAAATGAAAAATTTTCGAATACAAATAAGAAATTATACAATGCAAATGGAAAATATATAGAATACAAATAATGAATTGTACAATAAAAACGGGTTTTTTTACAATACAAATAGAAAATATAGAATGCAAATAAAAATTTATACAATTCAAATGCAAAATTATAGAATACAAATGTAAAAATTATAGAATCCAAATAAAAATTATTCAATTCAAAAGTAAAATTATACAATACAAATGATAATTATATAATACAAAAGGAAAATTATAGAATACAAATGGAAAATTATAGAATACAAATAAGAATTATACAATACAAATGAAAAATTATACAACATAAACGGAAAAAAAATCGAATATTGCAACATTTGATGCGCCAAATAAATGATACATACAATTGTCGTTGCTCAATATATCATCAAAAGAAAATACTCAGCATTATCAGTGTTATACATGAAACTGCCATCATACAAATAAAATTTTTGACTCTTTCTCACATCTATGAAGTCTAAATGTATTAGCATTTCTAAAATAATTTATATTTTTACACTTTATGAAGCAATATTTTCCCATTCAATTTCATAGAATATAAACGGCCAAAAACCTAAATAGCATAAGAATGTTTCTAAAAGTGATCCAATTTGGCAAGAAAACTCGTCCGGTAAAGCTTTGGATTGAACTCAATAAAAGTGCAATTAACGCTGATCACTGAAATACCCCACAGAGTGATTCGAGACAAGTGATGGCAACAGATTTGAGAGGTGGATCTAATGTTCTTCGGCTTCCCTTGTTGAAGTCAAAACTTCTAAATGTTATTAAATATCAGTTCAAGTTTTCATTGTCAGGTTTTTCTTTTTAAAATGCATATATATTTGGAATTTAATTTACGCTAGTCGTATTCAATTCAGCCAACTAAATATGTATTTGAATTTTTATTTCAAGCAGTCCCGAACCCGACCTTCTCTAAGTATTTTTTCCCCATATTTACAAACAGTCTCGCCTTTGTAGGTCTTATCTGTTTCACAGGCTCTAAACTTATTATCTTAACTCATTTAAAATATGAAACAACCCAAATTAGAAGTTTATCAGAAAATCGGCATTTTTATTTTAAATCAATCAAATTACACAAGCTATTTTCTACTCGGCACTTACAAACAAAAATGTAAATCGTACCCGATGTTTATTTAAAGAGAATTTTTGGCCGGAGCATATAGTGTTACCCTGTTCCGTCATCATTCACTTTCCGTTCATTATCTCTGCAACAGTTGCTCACATTCAACTCGAATTTGACATATGCATACGTCATAGGAATACGCAGGTCAAGTTCGAATTTGTTCATGTTCCGATGATTTTTGACAGTTATCCCTCTTGAACTTAGAAAAAAAATAAGAAATTTTTAGTTTCAGCTTGCTAACTTTTATAGGGATGTAAAAGGTTTAAATTGCATATGCAGGTATTTTACCAGAAAATACGGGTCAAGCTTGAATACAAATTTAAAACTAAATATTGCATTTGAAATTTAGGCTGCTTGCGGGGGCATTGGTGGCGTTAACGACACAGCTAGTTTTCTAAATGCCGGTATATGTCCGTCATAATTCATTTCTTAACTGTCTTAGCAACTTTCACATGTATACATGTACATGTATGTACACATATAATTATGATTTAGGCAAAAAAAAAGTTCCCTAATCTTGTAAGAAGGCAATGATAGCTGAAGAATGCCTAAAAATATATATGTAGTGTAGTTTCTAAAGATACACATTGTAAGCAGCCAGTTGTCACCCTTTGTATTCATTGTATTATGATTTTATATTTATATGTTTACAGACAGTCAAATTTGAACATTTCCTAATAGCTGTAACATGTCAATTGTATAACTTGTACAATAGACATTATTACATACATGTAAAATCTGTATTTTCACGCACTCTTTTAGCTATCGCACAATGAAGAGGGGGCAAGTGATGGAATCACCAGAGAGAATAACGTATCGTCCACCGCTGTTGGAGGTCAGTTTGAGCCCGCGTCGTCAGTTGACAGAGCTGTCCAGGTGTTGATTCCAAAAAGAAAAGTTAAAACAAGGACAAAGGGGATTCAAGTGGGAAAAAATAAAAGTGAAACCGTTGATATAGGTGTGCAATGCGAACCATTTAATAACGGTATTTCGGGTGCTGAAATCACTCACTGTGCGAACTGTCGAGTCAAACATGTTGTTGGGGAACTGCGTTCAAAAGCTGCAAGATCAAGATTACTGGGCATGTTGTGACGAACAATTGAACACAACGCTGTTCACTTTTCCGTGATTCAACATGACTTTTCCACGAAAAAAAATCCTGCTTTTCCCCGACAAATCAAACTGTTATTTCTCGAATATATTTTATGCTTTTTCGCGACTAATTTTAACATGTAACTCTTTCATTAGTCAGATAAAAAAAAAAGTGTAATTGTGGCTTTGCATAATTATCATACGCTGCATCGGTGAGAAATATATCGCCTTTTACTTTTCTGTCCATCGCATATTATGCATTGATTACCAGGATTTTTTTTCTGTGTATGAATACATGTGATTTCCATGACATCTGAACCTAATGGCTATCACCCACCAGATTCAGTCAATTTTTATTGCACCGTGAACTCTATGAGGTAATACCGGAAATTACGCTTAAATATAATGACAACAGTTTGATGTCATTTAACTTGATTTAAGGATATCCGATCCTCAGCCAGGAAGGATAACTCTTAAATTTGTTATTTCACTTAAATAGTTTCAAAATGAAGCTTGAAATTTAGATTTTTTCATGCAATAATTTTCATTTTATGCATCTTGGTATGATCCAAGGTTCTCTGAAGCCTTAGAAACGGTCTTTTAAAAAGTTGACATTTGTACCCTATAAAAGAAAAGAAATTAACTAATTTTTAGAGAAATCGAATTTCCTTTAATCTAGCATAAGATACTAATGCGTATTAGCATGTTATGAAATTTGACGTGATCTGTGATGTCTAGCAATAACACAAGCTTTTTACATACATATTCCATAACAACTGAAGTAAATAGAAAAACTAAAATACTGTATAAGCATAAAAAAGATGCAATTTTCTCCAAATGCCTGGATAATTATATTTTTTTTAATCCTAAAATATATTTGTTGATCAATTTTTAATTAGAAAATGCATAGCTGGTGTTTTTATTCGCATTTCCTGAAAATATATTTGAGATTTGATAATTTTCTCAATATAATATGATAACTTTAATGATGAACTTTGAAAAAATACCATGGGTAAATTCGCGTTACTCTGTGAAATCAGTGACATTTTTTAAGCATTTTCAAGTACTTAAAAGCTGATTTTCAGAACCTGAGGATTGGACGCTATCCGTGACCATTGGAAAATCGCGGAGAAGAGATATTGCATAAAGAAGTTAACACATATATAGTTAAAACCACTCGCGGAAATGCAGTGTGAACACGGTGAAGTAGTCGCGGAAAAGCAGACTGGGAGCTGATTTAAGTTGCGGAAATGCAGGACGGTCGAAAGGAATTCTACTGAAGTTCAAATAAGACATTTGGTATGACATCGCAGTGAAGCAGCTCAAAGGGGCCTAAGTGTTGATGGTGGACAAAGATTAATGCTTGTCAATTTTTTTCTTCTTCAATAAAAACTTCGTTGTTTTATATATTTTCACTGTTCTTTCAAATCATTTTCCTTTTCCAAATGCATAAAAACATTTCCTCTTCCACCTGCTTAACGCAGCTATAGTTTATAATTCTTTTGTATAAAAACTTACGGCGTTTCATTAATTTTTTTTCTAATAAAAATCCTTAATTGTATTAAAGAAAGTCGTCCTAAACCAGGTATCTACAACTTACCTGTCCTTGTTATTCATTGTAAATTCTTCCTGACTTTTAATGGCCTTACCTGTAAGCTGCAATTTTAGCGCTGTGTCAGAGGTTAAGAAAAAACGAACATGTAAAAAAACAGCCTTAATTTATTTGTAGAAAATCACATATCACTTCTACAACTTTACATACGTTTGTTGAGTTGCACAGTTACTTCACTTAATCGATAGAATCTGTACATAATGATATTGATTTTGAGAGCTATGTGATAGAATTGTCTCGACGTTATCGTCACAACTTCAACAGTTCAAGCTGTCGTCTGCACCTGCTATCTGTCGTCTGTCCAACATAGGTACTTGTGATAATCTATCTGTCAGCCCCTGGGCTTTAAACGCTGAATTACAAGGCAGGATAAACATTGTGTTTAGATCTATATTTAGCTCATCGACCTCTGGCTGCCACAGTGCAATGTACACAGAGCATTCAGCTTGTCAACTTATCACATTTCCCATAGCTGACAGACCATGTGACTCAGTGCTAATTCGGGGGCCCAACACAGGAAAATTAAAAGGAATATCTTTGAACTGCAAAGGTTTAATAAACTCAATGAGGCCATCAACTGAGTGTAGCACTATGCATTTATATGAGTTTTCAATAAGATCGTGGTTTTGAAATTTAACTCTTGACTTAAATAGTTACTTATGTTTAAAATGTCACACCCCTGTAAAGCCCCAGTTCGGCACACATTATCGCTGTAAGCCTTGTGCTTGTAGAACAACCTGTGTGACCACAGAGTCGAGCGTGTATCTTGTATACAATTTTTCCTGTCTCTAGACCATTTATGAACAACGGAAGATTTCTTTTTTTTTTTAATTTGACAATTCATTTACTGAATGTGACAAATTAATAACAAGTGCCTTTAGGTTACATCACCTGTGTGAAATACGCCTCAAGTTCAGGTAAGTCTTCTGCTATTGATTTTTAGGAGGACATAGAACAGGTGTCCTATGTGTGTTCTATGCACATGTGTAATGTCAGTATTTTTTTTCTGGATGGGGAATTTAATACAAATCTAGAATACAAATAAATAATTTTAAAAAAAAACTTTTGTCTTTGTTATGCATGTAATGCATCTTGAAGAAAGATTTTAAAAAATGATTAAGAAATAACTTTAATGATTTTTTTTTTACCTTTGAGAATAGATAAAAAATTACATTGAGATTCAGTCTCTAAATGGATATTCTCACCAACAAATAATTTTTAAGAAGACAATGACTCTTTTATTTTTCCTTTCATTGTATAGTAAACCAGTAAACAATACTAATTGAATGAAATAGAATGTTTAAATGTCAGTGTTAACTGAATTTTATCCTTTAAAAGATACAACTGTATATGATATAACATATGACTTATACTGTACTTACATTCTCTACTTAAAAAAAAAAACTTGAGTAGGCAATGACTGGGGTATGGAAGGCAGTGCTTCTAATACACTGAGGACACTACTAGAGCAAATGCAATCTGAACCTACAGTTACACTCATGGCTAACAAGACACCACCAAAATCCTCAGGCGAGGTCTTCCCCACCTTCCTATACAAGATTTCCCCCATCCTCTCTGTTCAGCAGTCACCCTCAATGGTTCAGTCTTCATCATCCCCCAAAAACACCAGTACTGCTGTTGTGACTAGCATGCCTCCTAATGTGGCCAGCACTGGGGCCACAATGGTTCTGGAGGATATGGGACTAAGAAGAACACGGACTGTGATCCCTAACTCTGTTAAAGTTCAAATTGCTAAAGTAGCCAATCAGATCCCTAGAATGACACAGGGCGAGATTGCTCAGATGTTTGGAATCGATAGAACAACAGTATCAAAGATCCTAAAGAGACGAAGGGAGTATCTGGGCCCAGAACCAGAATCATCAAAAGCAAAGTATTCTTGTCGTAAGTATTGTTTTTTATACACCTCTCTCTCTTCTCACTCACACAACCTTTTAAGGATACAGTTCAGTTCTGCTGAAGTCTGAGAAATGACTTGTTCGTAGTACTGCTCTAACTGTGCTGCCCTTTCTTTGGCTTTAGATCCTACATACTCTTGGTAGACTCTTTCTTGATGTATCTGAAGTGAAGTACCGGTAAATAAACAACATATTGTTCACACGTATTGTTAAACATGCCACATGCTTAAAGGCAGAGATTTTTTACCGGGTGGTAAATTCCAGGTGAGGGAGGGGCTTATTTTGTACAGGTGTGAATGCCCTGAGGGCTAGCAGTCTACCTGCGGTCGTTTGTCTCCTAATCCCTATACACAGGAAGTGATTTAATACACAGCAGAGTACCCAAGAAGTCAAACTTTACCTGTGTTGGGATTTTGAGATGATTTTAAAATAGAAATAAAAAGTTGTAAATAAATTTTAATCTCAATAATTTTTATTAATTTGTAATTGAATATGTGTCAAAGTATCCCCGCCCATTAAAAAATATTATTATTCAAAGTATTTGTTGAGCTATGAAAAAAAAAGTTATACCAAATTTTGATATATATTTCCATAAAGAAAATCATAATTATTTCAAATATTAAAGGTGTGTATGTATATATATTATCAAGCTAAAAATTCCATAGTAATACAGCTTCTCCATTGTTTATACCATGTGTGGTAAATATCAAAGAATCAAAAGTTAATTTGATGGACACCAGGAGTGTCAAACAAGGTGTACAGGGTATACACAGGGACTAGTAAGTAAATGTCAATCAAGTTCTAGCACCCAGTGATGTACCTTAACGTACTTGATTGACAGGGGTACACAGACCAGGTATTTTTGAAGGCGGTGCTTAAAATCTCTGCCTTTAACATTAACTAACTGACTGAAATTTTATATCACCCATAATACTCAGTAAGTATTGGTTGTAAATATTGCTATACGCAGTTCATGTAATTGAAGACACTCACAGTGAGTAAGCGTACTCATTACATTCTTTTATAAAGTCATGATATTTAGTCACAGATAAGAATATCAACTGTATTGAATGTTAATATGTATGTATACAGTAATAACAGTTTGAGATCAGCTGTTGCTGGAAATTTTGTTCCCCTTTATAACCTGAACACAGTACCTGGTAGGACCAAAATGACAGTGCTCTGGTACATATCTCCATTATTATCTCTGGTCGCTTTCCTGCCAGTACCATCTAAAATATAGTACTCTACATGTAGAACATATCGGTATACTTAATACCAAAATAATAATTTGTAATAACTCATTAATATGCATGAGTTATTTGGTCTCCATGCATTTTACTGACTCAAATATCAAGTCTTGAATTTTGGGACAATTAAGATACATGTATTGTCACTATTTTCCTGATATATACATTGTATTACACTACACTTGTAAATCATGCTCCTTTTCTAAATTCTTGGGAGACATCATTTCTTCTAAACGTTTATCACAGGCATTGATTCAGTGCCAACATAAGTGAAAATTGCATATATTTTCAGCATTAATTTATGAAGTAAACTTTTGCTTTTTTTAGGTTTAAAATTCTGACTTACCGACTTGTATTTTTCAGAAGGGTTTACTTCAATCCTGATAATGTCGAGTTTGTCAGACAAGTCTGTAGAACCTAAAAAAAAAAAAAAAAAAAAACCAACAACAAAAAACATGCAGTTATATTATGTTGCTTTACAGTTTTACAAATGACATGCAAAACTAATACACCAACTTGAAAATAAATACTGTAAAACAATTATCCTTTTTCCATATTTTTACATTTTTATGATACAAGGGTATTAAATCATAGCAGGACAATTAATTTCTTCAGATTCTATACATATCAAGGAACACATACATGCCAGTGTAAGCTTATATTTCAAATACATTAATCTTTCAGTTTCAGTCACATTTTTTTGTTTGTTATGATAATTAATGCAAAAGTATCAGTGGTAAAAATAATTAACACTTACAAGCTGGGCAAACATTGTTGTTCTTAAACTCTCTAACTCCATCTTCATCACAGAATATGTCTTCCAGTCTGTTAAGGTTTAATTAAGAATTTATGCTGCACATCAGCCTGCACTTTAACTCCACATAAAAGCCTTATATTAATAAAATTTAAAGTTTTCCCACCTGCCTAGAATAATTTTTTTTATAACTAAAACATTTGTCCTAAATGAAGGTCTTCTATATTTTTAAATACGATGAAATTGAGGATACGTGAACAGGAAGTTATCTGGAAGTGAAAAAATGAAAATTTATAGATATAAAACATATTCAGCTCTTTTGCAATTAGCATAGTTTTACTGTAAGTAACAACGAGTATACTTAATAAACATTCTTAATATGCACATATAAAGCAAACATAAAAATCTAACAAGTCAATATAACTTATTGGCTATAGGTTAAATATGGTAAAACAGATGATTCTCTTTGAAAATTTCACATGCTTCTATAATTTTTCAGTATATATCGATACCCCCTTTTTCCTCCCAATCTTCTTGTTATTCTTCTTTTGAAATATAACACATTGGTATTTTGTAATGTTCTATTTAAACTTTATAGTAATTTTACAGTCACTGGCATCTTCATCGTATTTCTCATATTTTCAAATAAAAATTTGGTAATTTATTTTTATCAAATATTCTCCTATGTTTTATGTATTTCTACAGTTTTATTTTAATCAAATCAAATTAATTAATGCTAAATCAATAAAATAGACCATTATAAAGTAAACAAACCCATGCATAGGCCTCTACTCTCTTTCTGCACTTTTTATGATTGCAAACCAACTCGGATTCCATATTTCTTAAAATCTAACACATCATAAGCCTAATGTTATCAAATATTAAATACCATACGACAGCGACACTTTTAAAATCTTCTGCCAAAAGTAATATCCACGTCAAATATAAACTTGTAAACGCTCTCTACAGCTACTTAAAGACAAGCGTTTGTAAGACTATTTATAAAATGATAGGAATGTGTATATGCAAAGAAAAAGAGGTTACGACGTGTAAAAGATGTCGGGCTGGGCTGGGTTCTCAGACGCTGAATTGAGAAAACTGAAAGAGAAATCCCCAAGCAAGTTGTCACCAGGTTGTGTTCCATATTTCAAAAGAAAATTATGTCGTTTTTATAAAATTGAACTGTTATATACATAAACCTTGTCGCTCGAATTTGCTCGATTTGACCAACGATGTAAACGACATTATGCATCTTAATAGAAGTGATAGCTAGAGTTTATGAGATTTATATCAATATATTTCTCCTTACTTTTTCTTCTTTTTTTTTTTTAAATTACAGCAGCCCCAGAGTTGCGCAATGAGGCACTACCTGAACGGAGAGTGCCAAACATTTTGTCAGCATCCAAAGCCAGGATGCAGAAGGAAACGACAGCAAATCAGAATAGCTCTGCGGGTAAATCATTTCACATCATAGCTCTGTAACGCAATAAAAATCTGATTAACCTTGTTTAAAGTACAGAACATTCAATGTACTTGCAGGGACTCTATTGAAGAAGTAACTGGGGGGTTTTTTTTGGTTCTTTTTTTATATGTTTGTTTTTTGTTTAACTTTTTGAAGTGATCAACCAGTTGTTCACATGATAATTTGCATAAATGCTGAAGACATTTATGCATAAAATTATCACATGAGCAAACTGATTAATCATCATAAAAAAACCCAGTCAGTTTTAGTTTTACATTTTCACCTGATCTTTGATTCAGTTAAAAAAAAATTCAATAATGAGAAATTAAAAAAAAAAAAAAAATCAATAATGAGAAATCTCTGCAGGCCCCACCCAGTGTGTTACTAAGCAACAAACAGTGAGAAAGCTTGGGATTCTGTCATGTGCTGAGCAAATCACTTGATGAGGATATAATAAAAGCTACTACATGTATATTATTTGTAATTTTATCTCGGACAAAGAATATAGAGTATAAGGTCCCCGGTGCCAATATATAATCAGAGTGATTTGTTTGGATGCATTGTGGTTTTGATAAGGTGATTGACAGATTTGCCTTGATTACCAATGTCAGAGAAAATAAAAAAACAACAAGCAAATGCACACTAAATGAAATAAAACTATTAGCTACAAATGACAGGTACAGTTCCTGGTAGGTGTGTAAACATTCAGTCTCTGACAGCAGCAACAGTCACATGTTACAATGTACAGAAGAAACAAACAGTTATTAATACTTCAACAAAATCATATAACTTTGTATCAGTAAAATATCAATTGAAGTAGTATATTAGTAGTTTATCTGTAATATATATATATATATATATATATATATATATATCTGTGTATAGGAGGTAACAAAATTCCAAAGCAACAGACACAAGTGCCTTCTCCAAAGCCAGAGGAACATATAGAGATCAAGGAAGAGGTCACTGAAATTGATGACTCCGAGGCATTGTCGTAAGTAACCATCTAAAGTCAAAAACAGTGTTTCATTCTGTCTTCATTGTCTCAAGTACTATACAGAGTTTGTAACTGAATCCAATCTACTGTACATTAGGTAAGCCATGTATCTGTGCAAAACTGAGAGCATGTTGTACATGTAATTTTACAAAGCAAGAGAAGGAGGCAAAATAATGTACAGTGATTTGTATTTATTTGTATTTGAAGGAGGCAAATCAAGTGCAGTGAATTTGTATAGTTTAAAATTTTCAGAATTGTAATTGTCAAGGTTTTAATGATGATCAGAAAAATGTTACTAGTGGATTTTCAAACCACTACTAGCATATAAGATTTTTTTTAATTTAAACAGTAGTTTATTCACAAGAGTGAATGGGATTGGGCAGCAGGCAAAGCCTATTTTAGCCCTCTCCCTAAATGGAAGATTTAAGATAATGAGAGAGAGAAATTAGGGAATATGTTCTCATTTACTTCTTGTGACCATTAATGCTGATTTATCATTCACAAATTGAGTTTTACAGGCAGCACATAAGCAGAGCCGGTAAAATGGATGTTTGCAATCATTAAACCAGCATTAACAGTCGCAAATAACAAATGAGAAGTTAACTTTTTTTCCATTCTAATGCAATTTATGCATTTTGTTTGATGTTTAAGTCATATTTTGTTGAGTTTTATTACATGAATTGCGTCACAAAGCATTGTTTTTCTGTTCTGTTATGACGTCACAAGCAGTAGCTTTCATTCTCGTTAATGCTTCTTTAACTTCCTCAAACATCAGTGTATTATCCAATCAAAATGCATTTAACAAAACAGTTGCTTAAAAAAAAGTAATGCAGAGTTGCAAAACTTTGTGGACAAGTTAAGAGTAAACTATCCTTTTCTGAGTACTGTCTTTAGTACATGTACAGTGGAGCCTCACTCGTAATGTGGACGCATCACTGGAGGAATTTTATGGGGACAGAATTAAGATTTATACATGTATCTACCAATTATATTACGTAATAGTAATCCAGACTCTTCATTAATGATGATGATTTGCACAAGCGTCCTGATGAACAGCTTAACTGTACTTCTGTAGTCACTTATCCTGAAGTTCTTAATTTTACAGGCGCGAGATGAATAATTTGGACAAGTTTCGGGATCAGCAGAAAATGATAGAGGAGGCTAACAAACAACGAAAAGCTCTGCTTTCCAAAACTTTGACAGAAAGGTGACATCATTTTTTGAAAGTAAATCCTACATTTCACTGTAATATTTTTTTCAGTTAAAGCATGAATGGTCTTACAGATAATTTTGTGCTTTAGTTGAGTAAAACATTGAATAAAGTTTACTTACCCTGTTACCTTTGAACAAGAATGTTTGAAATTTTTGTATGTAGACAAAGGAAAGCACGCGAAGAAGCCCAGAAGTTGTCCCACATTCAGAAAGAGGTCCAGTTACTGGACAATCGACTGTCTGCAGATGTTACACTCATCAGGAGTCGGATAGAATCAGCCAGCAAAGATTACATGGAAGCACAGTAAGGGACATAATTAGTAAATCAAATTGATTCATATTTAAAAAGTAATATGCTGTCTTTGTTGTGTTATAGGGGTTTTAACACTTGCAACATTCAGAGATATACATTTAACTTTCTGATTCACTTGCTCTTCAGGCAATTAATCTCAAACTTTGACTTGTCCAAATGCAAAACTTGGTTTCCCAAAATTTGGAAAGAAGAAAATAAATTATTACTGTAAACTGAGAAAAAAGTGTGAAAAGATACAGTACTGGAAATTTGGCAAGTTGAGCTACCTGAAAAAAATTTGATGCTATGTTTGTACATAAATTTATACCACTATCCTTGTCAATTTAACCTGTAAACATACACTTTAATGCAGCAATAACCTTCTGTTTCATTTATAAATAATAACATTAATAAAATTCATATTGCCTCTGCCATAAAATGGCCGGGGGCATACTGTGTTACCCTGTACCGTCATTCCATCATTCCGTCATCAATGACTTTCCATTCATTATCTCGGCAACAGTTGCACACATTCACTCAAATTTGACATATGGATATCTCTTAGGAATATGCAGGTCAAGATGAATTTGTTCATGTTCCGAGGATTTTTGATGGAGTTATCCCTCTTGAACTTAGAAAAAATAAGAAATTTTCAGTTTCCACTCTCTAACTTTTGAAGGGATGTATGTAAAAGGTTGAAATTGCATATGCAGGTATTTTGCCAGAAAATACAGGTCAAGTTTGAATACAAATTTAAAACTGAATATGGCTTTTGAAATTTTGGCTGCCTGCGGGGGTATTTGTGGCATTACAACACATCTAGTTTATCCAATCAAATGACAATCAAAATTAAATTATTTAATTTTAAAAAACAATTTTAGAATATTTTAAAGGCTGAAATATGTACTGAAAATGATGTTAAAAAGTTTTGAATTCTTCAATATTGCTATTTGGTAAATTTAAAATATTTTATAGAATCAGGTCATTTATTATTAAGGAGTTTTAAAATACCTTAGTTCTGTTTTACACTGGAAATTTTAAAACAGGAAATTGAGCTATTAGTTTTGCAAAAGTTAAAACAAATATTGGGAGCTTATAATTGAGAAAAAGGTTGCTTGGTCTAAAGGGTTTTTCCTGACTTACCTATTGTAATTTGAATAAGGTATTAGAAATGTAAAAATTTTGCCTTGACCATAACTTTGAAGAAAAATATAGGATTACTAGGCACAAAGATTGCCTGATTGAGGTTGCAACACCTGTGTTGAGTATGAGAAATACATAGCTATATAAAGTTATACTTCTAAGAGCATTTAACTTCTGAATCAACTCAGGTACAAGTAACTTGGACTTTATACAAACAACAGTGACTAAGAATCCGTCATGATAGATTTCTTGGTCACTATTTGCCTTGTTAAAGGAGAATAATACTTTGGCCAACTTTTCTTAAACCCTTTAGCATAGTAGTCATGATTTGTTCATTGTTTAGAAAGCATCTGCTATATGATATTAGGCTAAATAATCTTAAAAATGTCATAATGCGTTATTCATAAACAAAGGGATTATTTTACAGGCGACGTTATGATAGGGCAGAAAGAGAATTTATTGAGGCAAAGATGGATCTGCAGAAGAAATCTGATTTGAAGGAACAATTGACAGAACATTTATATACAATCATACACCAAAACGAATTACGCAAGGCAGAGAAACTTTCACAGCTGATGAATGAACTCCATGTAGAAATGGAGTCGGAGGAGGAGGGGGTAAAGCTGGCAACACTTCCTCCACTTAGTGCTTTTAATTCCGTTAGTCTTCCAACATTGCACAGAACAAGATCCCATGATCCAAGTCAAAATGGAGCTCCATCTACCAAAGACAGTAATCAAAAATCCTCTGACTCAAGTGAAAATACTGCTGCTAAATCTGTATCTACTGGCCATGTTGAGGAAGCCAAAGATAGAACTGTTTGTTCACCCGCAACAGAATCTCAAAATGGTAAAGAAAAAGTTGTAAATGACTGTGCAAAGGGAAAACAAAATTCCAACGAAACTTCCGTGAGTCATGAGAATTTTGTTCAGCAAGGGACTTCAGAAATAAATTCTGATGGCAAAATAAATACAGAAAAACCTGTCCCAACATCATGGACATTAGATGTGATAATCAAACAAGAACCAGAGGATGGTGTTTAAATAGTATTATGTCACATAACCAAATAATCATATCAATAAAAAAAATCTGTAATAAAAGTACACATTTAGTCATGATTTCTTTGAGATCTTCAAAAGAAAGAATGTTGAAAGTATAAATATTATCACATACAGTTAAGCTTGCTGAGGTAAATTTTGAGAGAATCATTGTTGGACTAATATACACGCAGGACCATTTAATGTTTTTTTTTTAATGCAAACTTTTATTTTCGAGGCAGAGCATAACCTCCCACTTTTTGGGTTAAAATCAGAGTTTTAATTTTACTGTCTGTTTCACATTCAATAAAGCCCATCAATTACCAACTCCACCTGTTATTTTAATTATAGCAGCACACTATTTTAGTGTTTTATTACAAGGTTCGGCCTTATATAATGCATTCTTACGCATATTTTTCACTTTAGCCTAGACGTATTGAATAGAGATTTGATTATTTTTATTCAGACTAAATGGAACTTGGAAATTTTAATTTCATGTGATTGGTCATCTACAAAATTACTATGCATTCACACAAAATAAAAAAAAATTACTACACACAAGTAAATAAAAAGATGCTGGAAATACTTATTGACAATATCTATGTAATCTTAGAAGACTAAGTCTTCCAAAAAATGTTCAAATTCAGATGGGCACTAATTTTGCGCCTTTACTAGGCTACCTGAGGTACTAATAAGTATATTTTATGAAGAAAAGTTTATTAAAAATGAATTTAAGAAGAAAAGAACTCTTGATGTTACCTTCAGTTCAATATTTAAGATGTATACCCGAAATTTTTTTTTATCATCATTTAAATTATGTTCATTCATGAAAAAGAGTGAAGATAAAGAACTGTGATCGATCTCATAAAAACTACAAACAAAACAAATGTGATATATTGACAATACCTTATGTATTATCAAGTAAAAGGGTTTCCTATCGAGTTTTATTTCCAGTTAATCAGCATTTTACATGTTTTACATATGATTGAAATATTGACTTAAGTCTCTAAGTCTGTTTCATGAGCTCAGGTCATGTAGTGAAAAAAGGAAATGACTTCTGTACGGCGCCACATCAGATAACGTCAATTTGTTTCTTTTGTGTCACCGCTTATTAGAATGATGTTTTTAAATCATACTATGGAAAAAAGGAAATTTTATTGTCGGATTTCTGCAACTGAAATTAAGAAAGCAACACAATGCTTTTAAGATCACTGCAGTGGTAAATGTCATAAAGAACCAAAGGAAATACTGTTAGAACTTCCGTAAGTAATGAAGGATCTCAGTAAACAAGACATAGAAGAAAGGAAAGACATGAACGAGAGTTTAATTAATAATACTTAATTGCTTAGATTTCCAGCAAAACAAAATATTTCAATCAGGGATAAGCTAGAAGTTTGTCAAATTTATTTACAGAGAGCAATTTGCAATACCAGTGTTTGACCCATCGATTGGGGTATGGGCACAGTTTGTGCCACACGACATAATTGTTAATGGTAAATCATTTGTGCCATCACAGACACCCTTGCATAGATTTAACATAGCATTTCATTTGTTATGATATGGCTGCCTCAACCAAAAGATGATTAGGCTACTGCATAAAATGTGGGAGGAGTTCTGGAAAATAGGCTGTTTTGTACTTAAAAAACGTTATTTTCGACCTCAATTTGACCCCAAGGGTGAAAATGGAAATACCGAATTCTTATTGCACATTTACAGGACACCATCAATCACCTTCCAAAATGATGATTAGGCTAATGATAAGATGTAATAGGAGTTCAGGGAACCAGGGTGCTTTTGTGTGTGTGTATATATATATATAATTTATACATATATATATATATATATATATATATATATATATATATATATATATATATATATATATATAGCACTAAAAAACAACAACACTGTATATCCTAAGTGTCGGATCTACTACTTAGATACAAGGTCACGGATGGAAATTTATATAAAGCACTAAAAATGACCAACGACACGAACAATAATAATTGTCAAATTTTCGGGACGACCTGTCCCTTCCTCAGGACAAAGAAAAAAGTTAAGAAGTCATAAAAACAAAGGAAATAGAGAAGCAAAAACAACTAGCACTACTACTAAACTACCAAACACTAAATATTTACAATGTTACATGTTTAATTTGGAGTTTATAAACAGTTGTGAACAAAGAAATCCGGAGCGCTATGAATTGCTATGAATTGCGTCCGGTCTATCGGATGTACTCTGGTGAACTTCAATATATATAAATATTTAGTGTTTGGTAGTTTAGTCGTTGGTCATTTTTAGTGCTTATATATATATATATATATATATATATATATATATATATATATATATATATATATATATATATATATATATATATATACAGGACAACACAAATCATCTTCCAAAAGATTAGGATACTACATAAAATATGAGAGGAGGTCTGGGAACCAGGCCTTTTTGTATTAAAAAAAAAACCCCGTCATTTGTCGACCTCCATTTGACTCCGAGGGTGAAAAATGAAAATTCCGAAACCTTAAAGCATCTACAAACACCACAAATTATCTTCCAAAAGGTGATAAGGCTACTGCGTAAAGTGTAAGAGGAATTCCGGGAACCAGATTTTTGTAGAAAAAATGTCATTTTTGGCCCCTGTTGTGCCCTGGAGTAAAGTTTAAAATTTCAAATCTTTATTGCACACCTACAGAACACCACCTATCATATTCCAAACGATTAATTGGTCACTGCTTTAAATAAAAGAGGAGTTTGAGGAAGAAGAAAGTGTGACAGTCGGACGGACGGACGGACCAGGGTAACAACAATATACCCGAACTTTCTTAGAAAGTGCGGGTATAAATATCACTGTTTCTTAATTTCATCCAGTATTTCAAAATTTTCTTTTTCCTTTCGAGTTTTAAGCTGGAATCTATCTAGTTCACGATAGACTGCATCATAATTGGTGCTTTGTCTGACCATTAAAACTCTCTTACAATAAGTTAAGTGAACATTTTCGATGTTTTGACTTTTGTGAAACCTCCATACTTCAGCTCCTTAACTCATTACATTGTTAATATTAGTATCAAATAAGCTAATTGTGTTTCTACGTTAAAAATGCAAATCCTTTGTTTTACCAGGAACACCGTACATAGCTTTTTTTTTTTACCCTGACAGGAAAAATGTTTCTGTGTTTCCAAAAAATGGCATTATAATTAAACCTGTCAGCATTCCTAGAAAAATAAATTGATTCACAACTTCTACAATGCAACCGTTGTACATCCAACGTTCATTTTTAAGAATTTTACTACTGCAAAAAATTAATATTTTTGTTTTTTCAACACTTACAGTTAAATTCCACTCCGTGGTGTATGTGTATAAAGGATCCAACATGCTTCAACAGATTCAGATACTAATACAGTATCATCTGCATACATCAGTAAAAATATATTTATCACCTGAAGTTAAATTGATGGTCAACTCGACATTTAGATATATCGACGACGTATTATCAATCAACAATAATTATTTCCATTCATATGTCGACACGATATATACCAGTGAGCTTGAAATAAAAGGTACAACAGAGTGTGACACATCTGTTTCATATTTGGATATTTTATTAGAAAAAGACGTTAATGGTAATCTAACAACCAAGCTTTATGATAAACGTGATGACTTTAACTTTTCAATCGTCAACTTCCCCTACTTATGCAGCAATATATCCTTTTCATCTGCAAAAAGGGTATACTGTAGATCACTAAATTTTCGCGACACCTTATTTTCGCGAGATAGTCATTGACTCTTTTTTAGCGAGACATAACTTTCACGAATTGTTGTTATTCCTCTATATAATCTTAAGGAACACTATTAGGCCTATACACGAGAATGATATTTTTGCGAGTTCACTGTCTCGCGTAATTACGCGAAAAGAAAGTGCTTTACAGTATACATCTATCAGTTGATTCAATACGCAAGAGTATGCTCTAAGTACATAGGTATGAACAATTTCTAAAACGAGGTAAGTTATTGACAAACAAGTTGATAAAACAAGAATATCAACAATCTCGTTTAAAGTCATCATTTCGTATAAGTTCTATGGTCGATACAATTGCCTTGTCAGCAGATACAATCTATCATTAAGTCATATGCTGACTGACGTTTTTCATACTAATTGTTAGGCCATTATTTACACACTGAATTGTCGACGGATTTTCCCGTTATTCACCGATCATGACAAGGAGCACACGGCGGGTGTGACCGATCGGCAGGGGATGCTCACTCCTCCTTGGCACCTGATCCAAGCTCTGATGTTTTTAGGTCACCTGAGTCACTCAGGTGACCTATTGCTATCTGTTTTTGTCTGTCGTCGTTCGTCGTACGTCGTTCGTCGTCAATCGGTCGTAAACTTTTGAACATTTTTAGCTTCTTCTCTGGAACCACTGAACCAATTTCAACCAATTTTGGCATATAGCATCTATGGGTGAAGGGGAACAAAAATTGTGAATTTCATGGTCCCTGCCCCCCTGGGGCCTGAGGGGTGGGGCTAAAACCACCAAAAATAATGCAATCTTTAAAAATCTTCTTCTTTACTCCTGGACATCAAGCAGTCAAACTGTTGGCATTATTGTAATAAGCATGGAGCCCTCTATCAAAATTGTGAAATTCATGGCCCCAGGATCAGGGGTTCTGGCCACAGGGTGGGGCTATATAGATCATATAGTGAAAGTGCATTATTTCTTTGAAAATCTTCTTCTCTGCTCCTGGGTATTAAATAAAGTTACTAAGTACATAGTTATGATGAGCAAGAGTGCCTCTTCCAAAATTGTGAAATTCATGGCCCCAGGATCAGGGGTTCTGGTGTTAGGGCGGGGCTCTATTGATTATATAGTGAAAATGGATTATTTCTTTGAAAATCTTCTTCTCTGCTCCTGGGTATTAAATAAAGTTACTAAGTACATAGTTATGATGAGCAAGAGTGCCTCTTCCAAAATTATGAAATTCATGGCCCCAGGGTCAGGGGTTCTGGTGTTAGGGCGGGGCTCTATTGATTATATAGTGAAAATGCATTATTTCTTTGAAAAT